TTATTTTATTTTTTTTTTTCAAGAATCAATATTTATAATACTATAGACCATTAAAATTTTCTATCTTTTATGAAAATAAATCATCTAAATGTAGTTTTACTAAGTTTTAGCCTTCGGGAGTTATATGTAGATAAAAAGGCAACCCCGAGAAAGTGCGTGCGATATGAGGTACCCTATGATTTTCACCAGATACTAGCCTTTCCTGTTTTATCCTAAGAGTACAAATCTCGGCATGCAAAGACCTTCACACAGGTTCTACTGTTTCGTCTTCTTTCTGGCAATATCTGCATACGCTTGTTTCTGCTTCTCTGCTTATATAAGCTTACGGAGTTTGCTGAGTCCTGTCAGCAGTCCCACTATCATTCTAATCCTAGCATGTAGCACGTCCTGGTTTTAATAGTTCTGCCGTTAGTCAGTGCTTTGGTCTGTAAATGAACTTTTTCTCTGCCCTGGAATAAATTCGTATTGAATTGAAGAATTATTCTTAACTCATTGTCTGATGAATGAAGTTTTTGACAATTTGGCAAGTCGTGAATTAGGTTTGGTTTGGGTTTTCGTTCGTTGTTCGTCTTCACTGTACGAAACGAATCAATAAACACAACTACATGCACAACTATATAAGACAATAATTTGTTTAAATTGCTTAAAAACCTGCGTTAATATAATGGAATTTTCAAAATTCATATTATAATCGAGACCGTTTACAGCATGTTTTCTGATTGGGCACTATTACTATAAATTTAATGTCATTTTATTCAATGATAATAAATAGTAAACGAACAAAACTATGGGCTTCATAAAAAATTCAATTTAAAAATTATCATCTACTTACAAATAGGGATAATAGATATCTTCGCAGTATGTCGTAAGAACACAAATGTTTAAAGGATAAATGTTTGAAAACTACAACATGAATAAATTAAATTACGAGCACATGTATCATATCAAGGACCGGTAGATTACTTGATATATTTTATTTTTAGGCGGTTATTTCCACTGTGATTTCAGACCTTTCTATCGCAACCTAACTAAATCTCTAGTTGATTGACCCTGCTTTATGTCTAAACACAAAGTGCACTCTCGTTGGGACGTGAGCACTTTCCTTGGTGCCACATTGCTAATTTCTTTAGGTGTAGATATTGGCTTCTCTTTTCGAAGTGGTGATTTTTACCTTTATACGAAGTGGCAGTTCCGTCCTTTCTAATTTTCCACGTGGTCAATTTTCTCGGACATTCTATTTAATACGAGATCAAACGTCAAAATTACACAAAAACGCCAGTTTTATTTAAATATTAAAACACAACAGAAATAACAACTTGAGGTGGTAGTGTATCGTTATAATTAAATCAAACAATGTTGAACTTTTGAAATCATGTCATATCCAGTGTCATAAAGTCGATCATAAATTTAACGAATTTGGAAACCAAAACCACCCTGGTAAGTTCATCGTTGAAGAATCCTCGCCAAAAATGGCAGATTCTTTCTTCTATCTTTCCGAAAACGCAAAATACCGGTCATCGCATCTGAGAAAAAATTTACTCAACAAACATATATACAATGATGACCTCATTTGGAGGTTATGCAATAAACCTCAAGTTGTATGAAAGGAATTTTCACAATTTTATTTGTCGTTTGATATGACAGACGAATTTTTATTACAATTCAGAGTTTCCTTTCTTAGTTTCGACAGAGTAGATGTAAGTGAGGTGTCTTCCAGGATTAATACATACATCCTATGGATTTCCATTATTTTCAAAATGATTTATCTCAATCGGCGTCGAGGCCGATCGGGGATTTTTATAGAAAACACCAATCGGTATTTCAACAGAAGTGTGAAGTCACGAATGGCCTGTCGATTTGATAGAAAAATCGAGAAACGCTCCCAGAGAGGGAAAAAAGGCGGTTAAATTAACGGAGTTAAATTGATTAGGATCTTTAGCGATCAGGATAATGGGCTGTCGGAGGTAAAAAAATCCTCCACCTCCGATTGGTATCTTCATTAAACAAGTGGTGAAAACGAAACCAGAAACGGGCACGGCTTTCGTAACAGTTAAATTTTCAACCACGGCTGATCGAGTTGGTGTCTATCAGTATAGCACATATGGCCAATAAAATCTGCCCATTAGAATTAATTTATATGACTCTATTCTAAATCCAATCAAAAACATTGCAAATCCTCTCAAAAATGAACAAATAAGTTTACCATTTGTTGTCTTTGCCTAAAATATTTCTTCAAACAATTTCCAATATTACTATTAGTTACAACTAATCAAATTTTTATCATTAGGCATTACGATAGCCTAACTGCGCTTAAAGCTATTTGTTTACGACTAACAAGCCCCTAAGATAGCCCCCTTCTCCCACTATTGTTTTTCTGAGGTACGATCTCGGTCAATAAGGAAATGCATGAATTCTCGGTGAGAAATAGGAAAACGTAGCAAATTTTCCATTTTGTAGGGCCCAAGGTACCTTAGACCAAGACCAAATCTTCATTATAAACTTCCAATCTACAATAATATAACAGTAATTTCTCAATACACCAAGTTCACCACCACAGTACACAATAGTAGTTAGACAACCTAACTTTTTAAGAAAGCCCCGACTGCAATTAAAACAAAACTTATTGAAGATCTGTTATCTGGGCACTGCCAACTGTATTTGATAATGGACAATGCGGAATGTTCGTTCTTCCGATCCTCTGCAGTCTACATGATCCTCCGACAATTGTTTCCGAATTCTCAGCCTCGATTTTCAAACAATGCTTTGTCTTTCCTCGATTTTTCATAGATCGATTAATCGAGAAAGTTCATATTTATCTTCTCCTATAACCCTAGATAGCTAATTTTTCTTAATGCGTGAAAAGAAAGATCTTTCTATACCCGTCTCCTCTAGCAATGGATTATTACCAACATTAGGCAGGCTTTTCGATTGCATAGCATGAACCCGATGGATAGCGCTGCCTCAACCTCCTAGGAGGATTGGTAGGGAGTGTTAGAGTAGTAAGATCGTAGTGAGGGAGTTGGAATTAAGATATATGGGAGTGGAATTTCAGGTCTCAGGATTTGGCTTGGTTGGTAACATCGGATGAAGAAAGGAGTGATAATCGTGTAGAGGAGTTTTGACTGGAGAAATTGGTTCATGTTAAGGTTTGATATTTTATCCGGCCCATACAATTCCAGTCCAAACAATAAGAGCTAGAAGTGGGAAGTTTATTTAAAAAAAAAATTTTTTTTAATTCTTCAATTATGGAGTCATGGTTCTAATGTAAGGAAGAGGTCCTGGAGTAATCGAGCTGATAGGATAGGATCGAGGATTGTTTTATAGTAAGCAAAGGTGTTTGGTTGTTGAGAGAATGCCGTATTTATGCTGAAAAATAGCGGGCCTATAATAAGAAACACCAGGGAGGGTAGAATGGATTGGAGAGGTTGGGGTTTATTAGGAAACACAGAAGAAACGATCATACAGGAAGGATTTTACGATGAAATAGTTTGTTCAAAAAAGAAAGGATTTGGGTTTTATCAGTAGACCCAGGTGACAATGCGTTAGAACAGGGAAGACGTCCAGAAAGACTCCAGGGCGGAACTTACGCTCTAGGAATGTTGCGATAATGTCTTCAACACGATCAATTTAAATTCTGGAGTTATAATTACGGAAGCCAAATGGTGGTCAGTAATGTAGGTTGTGGAAAGGATGACTGTAGTATCTTCTCAAGTACTTTCTCGAGGGTAGGTAGGAGACTTATAGGGTGATACGAGGGACTTTTTTTAAATCACAACTAGTTACTGTCTTTTAGTGATCAATGAATACTTTTATTTAAAAAGGCATATCTTTTCACATGAAATTTCGTGCTGATTGAAAAAATCCATTTTAAAGGATTGAAAGCGTCTTTACCGCCTGCCAGCCTTTTTCAACTGTTTAAAATATCATTTGGCAACTTTTCTATTATGTTTATCCGAATTCAACTCAAGGCTTGAAAGCTTGTTGATTGTGGCGGAAAGGATCAGAGTTGGACCCAAACTGCCCGACGTTTATTTTCATCATTAATTCAAACATAATATTTATTCGGAGCGGCGCGGATCGGATCCCATGCTAATATCCTAGCGACAAGTGGAAGAATTGATGATGCCTGTAGATCGCGCCCTATCCCTTTGATTCAGCCATAAATAACCGGGGGAAAGAGGCGATAAATTTTATTTATGAAGAAAGCCCGGACTATGATATTAATTCAAAACATAAGCCGGGCGCCCAACCCTGTTACGATTGGGAAATCTTGTTCCTTGACGCCTTTTATTAAATTAAAAACGAGTGCACCTTTTCCCCTCGGGGCTCATTCCGGACATCGCTAATCTGAATATTTGATTAAAACAGAGTCCGACAAAGACAAGAATCCCTGATGAGATTCGATCGAAGAATCGGGATGTTATGAAATCTAGGAGCGTCCTTCGATGGGGTAGGCTCGTCCTTCTGGTCTTATTCAAATAAAAAAAACTATCCTAAAACCCCCACAAAAGCGCAAAACCTGTCCTTTATTTGTACATACAATGGACAAATTGGATTTTATCAATGCCAAAATCATTTGATGATTAAAAATTGAAACGGTCTACTCAACTTTTGACCATGAAAGTAATATAAGCATATATGAATGGGATCTTCTTCCTTATCTGACAAATGTAGATAATAATTGCTTAAACAAATTAATTTGTCCATAAGGAAAAAATATAAAACGTGTCTTTTCCTTTATTTCAAATTGAGTTGATTCTAAGCTAATAAAAAAATCGTTAAATTTTGATCCTAGGCAGGAATTCGTAGAAATGTACGATTGGTTGGTCTGCAAGAGGATGGTCGTATGTTGCACTCTTCGACACTGACCACTTTACTGGATCCGTTTATTCTAGCTGGTTTACGTTTCACCCAAATTAGTTACGGCTTACTATCATCTTCAGACGCCATATTTTTTTTTAAATGTTAACTTAAAGTATACAAAGTTCCATCAAGCTTACCTTCCTTTCCCCCCTGACCCTTTGCCCATGAATAGGAGACGGTTAGAATTCCCACGAGACCTTTATCCTCGCGTTTCTTCTGAGACCAAGAAGGCCTTGTTCCTAGCTTCTGGAAACATCGTACTTATCGCGCAGGATTTATACTCTACGAGCGACCTGAAAGCATTTCGTAACGGCCTGGAATTTATCGCCACCTTAATCTCGTCGTGGTTTGATACGATTATCCCAGGGAAACAAATCCAGCCGTAGACACCTACAGGAAGCGTGTCTGCGCATCTATTAGCCAGGAACAAGCCACCACACATGTCCATCCGTGTTTAACACATTTTTTCCACTGTCTGAAAGTATAAAAACCACGAGTAAAAGTATGTTTGAGTAGGAAAATTAAGTTCAAACAGGTCTAAGATGTCACGAAGTACACAAGTAAAGTTTTCTTACCATCCCACCTGTAAATAGACAAAGTTTACCGAACAGTCGGACAATAAAAATAATCATCACTCTTTCATAAATTTCGAAAGTGATAAGAAACGGTTAGTTGTTTTCTGAAACGCGGTACTGTCCTGGATGCGATTTCTTAATCACAAGTAGTACTTCAAAAAGCATTTGCGAAATAAGGAAAATTTTATATAATATTAGAACTTAATGATTAAACAAGATGAATAACTATATTTTATGTGTGGTGTTTAGTGACCGTTAGTTGATGATTATTTGGAGATCGTGAGGTGCGGTCTTGTGTGACATAGGTTTAGAAAACATTTTCTTTATCGTGCCAACGTTTCGATTTTTATTAAGATCATCTTCAGGGCCTGGGATTTGCAAACATTGTTTAAATTATACAAATGCATGTAGGATGTGAAAAAACCGTAAAGTTGACCTCAATGAAGATCTGGCACTGATAAATGAAATGTTTTTCTAAGCCTATGTCACACCAGACCGCATCTCACGATCTCCAAATAACTATATATTGTTTATTTTCTTAACTTTATCTTCAAGGATATATGTTTTCATATGTATTACGGTTCCATGCACATATTATAATATGTATTTGAATTTTTTATGTAGCCGGGGTCGAAGCCAATGATAATGATTATTGACTTTTGCAAGTTGAAATTGATTTCCAGTTAACTGTTATTTTTATATTATTAGTCTGGTCACATAGTTTTTGTTAAACTAACAAGGGTTTAAAATTAAAATTCAAACATAATTTTCAGACACACGTGTAATAGAAGTCAATGACTTCACCTCTATCGACTTATTGTAACAAATCGAATTTTTGTCCGATCGAAAAAAATTCCGATACGATGACACGAGTTACAAGTACACGGGTTTTCACCGTTTGGATTCCGATCCTATTAGCATTTCACACCTGTCAGTACAAAAGAGGCATTTGACAATGAGATTCTACCAACAGAAAATATTTACAAGGCAATTCTAATTCTAAACCGAAAGGGGCAGCACTTTCCTCCTTCCTTCTTCAGAAGGAATTTTAACTAATTAACTCCAATTATTTTTGCAACGAAATATAATACATGTAATGGCTTAAATTAAGATGGTTATTGTATGATAATACGTGAGAGTGTTGTTAAAAAAAATTAAAAAATCTTCGGCAAAAAGGAAACATTCAAAATCGCGAAAGATAGTATTTTTGGATTTTATCCATACGTTTAAATCAATTAAACAATCAGAAACAAAAAATTTATTCAATTACAACCACAATTTTTTTTAAATGAAATGTTATCAGTATATTGATGATTGGTATGGTTAACGACAATCTTAAAGTTTTCGAACAACCTACCACAAGTCTTCAATATTTATTAATGTTGTCATTTGTGTTACATGTAGTTCTCACTTTTTGTGACTAGTTTCGTAAGAAAAACATGGTCAATGCTAAAACTGCATATTGTGTTTAAATTGATCATGGATGAATTATTTGTTTTAAGTGTGTGAGTTTACTTTAAAGCTTCCAAGAGACTTGTGAGGCGTGCTCTATAATTTGTTCTGTACGGATCATTTTGGTAGGTCGCTTATCCTCATCTTGGTTGGCAAGAATAGGGTAAACAAAATAACCGAAAACGACCGAATTATAAGTTGCATAGACTAATACTAAAGGGGGGGGGCTTACAGTGGCCGCAACGGTTTAGGCGTTGACACGGCGCTCATCACTGTAAGGTAAAGGTCCCGGGTTCGAATCCAGCGGCCCTAAATTCGAACCCGACATACTTACAAATGGGCTTTTTTCAAAAACATCGACACCCCGAGGGTTGATATGACCTCTGATGTTGCAAAACCTCGTAAAAATACACATCTGGACTTATACTCAACTTTTATCGGTGAAAATTTTATTTTTTGTAGGCCTTATTTTGAGAAAAAAAATTAATTAAACTTACGATTTTTCAACATTTGGGCGATCTTGTGCCATTTTAAAGAAACACGTATTTTATTTCTGGAAAACATATTTTGAGAATGTCACAGGATCGCCTAAATGTTGAAAAATCATAATTTTTATTTAAAATTTTTTTTCAAAATAATATCTACAAAAACGAAATTTTTTATAATATATAAAAAGAAAAAGACGGACAATAATAACGAAGAAAAGAAGGCTAACTTTTATTTCTCAATATTTGCAATAGCATCAATGTCACAAAAACGAAGAAAAGAAAGAAAATACACACACTCCTCCGTCAAGCTATCGGGAATATATTTCCCTCATCAGAACTTTGAAACTTTATTAATAATTCACGAGGTAAACAAAAATGAATAAAAAGTCCAAACATACTCCATAAAGTTCATACTTTGCATTACTGTAGATAGATGTTCATATTTGTTAATCTCGTGGTTTATTAATAATTTTTACGGGCTGTATTCCTCGAAAGCTAGACGAGAACTGAGTATTTTCTTTTCTTTCAAATATGTCGGTAGTGGATTAATAATTTATTAAGGATATTGATTACAAATCATTTATCTCTTTAAATGCGGAACGTCTTTGTTCAACAAAAATCACTCTTTTTTTTATAAATGGGCAAAATGAATTTTTTTAAATTTGGATGGTCGAACTATGATGGGAAAACAGTAGAAATTTTGTCTGCCTCTATAATTTATAAATTAATTTAATTGCACAACGTCCCATCCTAAAAACATCGAAATTGGTTCAAAATTAATAAGAATAGTTAATTCAGTAAGCATGTATACATTTGCACTGTCGATACATACATTTTAACATGTTTACATAATACTGCTAAAGTCGATGGTAAATGTTGGCCTGCTTTTACTTACGAGTTAGTTCTACACTGAAGATGGCACAAAGCCGAAACGCGTATGATTGACACCGCAACACACGATTGTTGACGATCCCAATAAGTACATTTTAAAACGTTATTTATTGCTGTAGAAAAGATTTAACATCTGAGACTAGCAGGCATAGAAACTGTTCATTTCTGTCTTCTTTTAGTAGCTCTATTTTTTTAAGTATTATTATATATTTATTATATATATATATATATATATATATATAACTTTATAATAGGATTCTGACTTGAAATTACTTGTTAGAACTACCATTTAAAAGACATAGAATGAGGTAAAATACTTAGAAAGTCGAAGCTTTCGAAATCTTGAAAAAGCACCAGCCTTAAGAAAGACGAACGTTTTTATTGCCCCATTCTCCATCTATTTTTCTTTATTTTTTTTCTAAACGGTGCCTATTAATTTAAACCAATCGCTTTCGAGTGCCTAAAATTCTATTTTGGAATTTATTCAATCGAACGACCTGGAGAGAATGATCGCAGACCCCTTGCGACGATTTACGTCGCCAGATGACGCCTCGAATTTTTGGATTTTCATTTTTCTGTAAATTTTTTATTTGTACGCAGCCGGGGCCAATAAATTGAGACATTTTATACCCGGCTTATAAAAGCTTCCATGGCCACTTAGGAACAAAGTCCGGTTATAATTCATGGACAAATCCGCGCGGCAGCGGCCGCTCTATAAATTAAGCCCATTGAATATTTTACCGTCAAAACTAATGGATTTTAGTTCACACAAATAACGCTGCAAATAATATTTGAATACATCACCAGCGATTTATAGGGTCGGCCCCGTTTTGATGCTTTACGATGCCGAAGGAATTACGTCTATGTTCTAAATATTTTCAGACCTTTGAATGGGAAACGTCATTTCACTGAATAAACACCCCCACAAAAATTGATCATACTTTCGAACCAATAATTTTAAGTAAAGCCCTTTTATTTTGCTTCAGATTTTGTCCTGTGAAAAGAGGGTGCAAATCCTTCAACAGAATTTACCAAAAAAGGATAATTCTTTTCCAACTTCACTGTCCATCAACAATCAGAAAAACCATAATTTTAAAACAATTATATTTTAAATAGTTCCCATTATGATGAAGTGATATATCCTGTATTTTTTAATTATTTATTTTTTATCAATCTGCAAATAATGCAATAAAGCTTATATTATAAGGGGTCTATTGTCTTACATGAACTTATATGTTATAAGTTATTATATTTTAATTAAGGTTTTTAGTTGAGATGAAAAAAAGTTAATGGCACGAGCGGGATTCGAACCCACGATCTTCGGCTAGATACGCCGCTGCTCTACCACTTGAGCTATCGTGACCTCGAACCACTCGGACATCAACTTCCTATCTCAACCCCACCTTATGAGTTTTCCCTCCTTTTTGCCATTTTTCATCTTTTTCATCATTTTTTTTTTTTCATCTCAACTAAAAACCTTAATTATTTGTAATGATTTAATTGGTCAAGCGGACCACGAAATTAGTGAATTTAAAGAATTAATATGAAGTACACTTCACTAAAGCTCTCCGTCGCCATTTCAATTGTCGTCGAGAATCCAAACCGATTACACGACATTTGAAAAATGGCAAAAAGGAGGGAAAACTCATAAGGTGGGGTTGAGATAGGCAGTTGATGTCCGAGTGGTTCGAGGTAACCATAGCTCAAGTGGTAGACCAGCGGCGTATCTAGCCGAAGATCGTGTGTTCGAATCCCGCTCGTGCCATTAACTTTTTTTCATCTCAACTAAAAACCTTAATTAATTGTAATGATTTAATTGGTCAAGCCGACCACGAAATTAGTGAAGTTATTATATTTATGTAAACATAATGTATAAATGTGCCATTAAAGGTCTGATTTCCTTTTGTGATGAGTGTTTTGATTTGTTTCTCGAAAAAAAGTAACTTTGGTCTAAACCTTATCCCAAAACGAACTAGAAATTTGATTGTTTATTATTTTTCACACTTCCTATCAAACGCCACTTTTTACGGATATCATTCTAATAGCCTCAAAAGTATTTGTTTATTATG